GACCAAAAAATACAAATAACATAATTACAAAATAACACATTTATGCAGATTTGGAAAAGAAACACTTTTCCAAATCCATTTTTTCATTATAAAATTTATAAAAAAAATAATACTAATACTGACTGTAGGTGATGGATGTGTCTGACCTTAACAAAAACTGAAGTTTTATGCGTGCATCTGGTGAATTTATGGTTAAAGCATCTTTGTTCTTCATTTAGGGAAGTTAGTGATGGTGCTCAAGCATCTAAAAATTTCACTCATGCGAGAGTAACGTTGCTTTATATTGCTGAAGTAAAAGTAAAAAGCACAGTGTGGTAAGTTACTCCTCATAGTATATTTTTTCCAAAAAGTAAAGTAAATGTAACTAGTTACTTTCCATCTCTGAAAACCTGTGATGACAACCTGCTCCTGAATTTGTTGTCTGCATTGTCAGAAGGTGAGTGTAGGCTCCTTCATCAACCGGGGAGGTTAGACTGATTATACTAAAATGGAGAACAAAAACCAAAAACCACCATGCTTGGGGTGCAGCCGTGTTGCATCAAGCAGGGCTATGATTTGAATCATCTTTCTGTGAGGCTGCAAATTTCACTTATTTATGGTAGTGGTAAATTTAGCACGTTTTTTTTTTTGTTTTTTTGTTTTCTAAACTGACAATGCATGGAAGGCCGTGCAACTAGAACTGGGTTCAGAAAGCCTCGCCCCACCTGTTTAAATGCTCGGGTGCGCACTGGTGCACCAATGCCCCCGCTTAGACGATTAACAAAAAACAGGTGACAGAGTTTCTCAGCTCCATGGCAATCACGTCCCACGTCTGCCTTTGGCTTTGTCTGCAAGAGGTCTAAGGGGGTCATTTCAAGATTGAAACTTCTGACTGAGACAGATCAACAAAATGATTAGCATTTCAGCTCTTCGCACCTTTTAAAACATGTGGGTCGGAATAGTGACTAAGCAGCATGTCTAAGTAACGACTGAAGAACAGACCCACAGGCGCATTTACCGCGATGGAAACTTCAGCATGCAACTGTCGTAGCACATGCATCGGGAGTGGTTATTTTAGTACACTCCGGCGCTAAAAAAACAAAACAGCAGATAAAAGCTATATTTGTTATGGCTCAAACGTAGACTAAAAAAACCTGATGTGAATTCACACCTCATCTTGACCACACAACCACACTGAGGCTAAATTTTCCGTCATTGCTGCTTGTTTGTCACTGTGCTGTACCATGACCTGTGTGAAAATCAGCTCCAGCACCATAAATGAAGTCAACGAGTTAATTTAAGTACATCAAGCTAATCAGATTCCTCTTGAGTTGTTGCGTTGATTTGTTGGTTTTCCTAAAATGTGTTTAGTCTAAACTAAACACATTAAGTTGCAAATAACACAGCAGTTTAACATCTTAAAGTATTTAAGCCATTGGATTTAATTTAAAAAAAAAATGTCTGAATTTAAAATGTTTTATATTCTTATCAGTGCCATAGAACAATAAGTTAATTATAATTACCAAATTAATTTGGTAATAATAATAATAATAATAATAATAATAATAATAATAATGATGTTAAAAGATCATCTTCTGGATTGAAACAGCATTGCTGCTGTTGCATTATATTTTGGAGGCTGCTCTGTAGGCCCAATATGCTGACTTGGTGCTGAAAAAATCTTTTGTGCCCCCTAATGGTACATTTTATTTCTTTTTTTAGCCATTTGAGAAATTGTCATCCTTTTTACTAGTTGCATTTATTTCTGACGGTCGTGGGCCTAAGACCCTGAATTAGTGTTCAAAAATCCTTTAGTGCCCCCTGTTGGTAGATTTCATTTCATTGCTCCTGTCACCCTTGTGAAATTGTTGCATCCTTTTTTAGTAGTTGGTGTCGCATTAATTTTTGGCGGCCATCCCTCGCGCCAGATGCTGAATTGATGTTCAAAAATCCTTTGGTGCCCCCTGCTGGTAGTTTATTATTCTAAGTCTGCTGAATTATTCACATCTATTTCAGTGGTTGTTTGTTCTGTGCTGAATTGGTGTGAACATAAAAGTTTATTTGAATTTTTTTTTTGCTCGTAATGAAAGTTAAATTGATAATTTTTTAATAGGTTAAACTATGCACATCCTTCTTCTAATCAATCTTTTGCACACAGTGTGTTAACACAAAAGTTAGGGCATTTTCTTGCTTCTCATATTTTTTGACTAAGGCTTTCAGAGTTTGTTTTTCTCATAAAATTACATTTTATGAGAAATGTAATTTCCCATGAATTCCCCATGAATTGGTAGATTTGCAGATTGTGTAAGCAGCTAACTATGGTGAGTATGAAATTGATATTAGGCCCCACTTTTACTTTTAATTCAAAGCACAGTACTCCTGTGGATAATCTGAATTTAACTGTGAAAACCAAAATTGTGTTACGTGAACAAAAACACACAAATATACTCCATTATAGTTTTGAGGCCTTGCAGACATCCCTGGCCTAACATTCTCATCAGAGTTGAAAGTTAGTTTTAAGTCTGTTAATAGAATGAAAATGCCCACCCAAAAGGACTGTCAACTATCAATGGGTTAAGTAGTAATGACATTTGTGCCAATTAGCTAATTTCACTCCAACAAAACAGATAGTAGATGTCTTCTGGGGTGCATTATTATCAAATCCAGCTTCCTATTTAGCTTTCAGGAGCATTCCCCAGCTTGTATGAGGCCCAAACCTTGAGAGATCATGTTGGCTCTTCATGGGGCCTGAGTCCAAGGCAGAAGTCTGGTAGAAACAACGGTTGCACATCCATGAGCTCTGGTCTGTTTGCACCTGCATAAGCTGGTCAATTAATAACCTAATAACATAGCTGACAGTGCTCAAAGTGGTACTACAGCTACTATTCACAAAGAAAAAAAAAAAAAGAAAAAAAAAACATTGAAGCGAAATCCTTGTTCTTGTATGACAGCATAATAATACAATTGATTGTGACTAATTTTATGACAGTATCTTTTCAGACCTGCTCTGTGAACGTGTGCAGATTCTCTGCCCCCTGCTGGGTCTGGATAGTACTGCATGGATAGTTCTGCACTCTGCATTCACTGCCTCACCCATAAAACGAAGCAGTCGCATGGCACAAAAATTGCTCATCTGAATGGCTAAAAACAGTAATGTCTCAAAAGTTTTATAAGATAATCACAAACCACTAATGTTGCAGTTATCGTATTGCATACACCCTTTTCTATAGCATAACGACACAAAAATAAGATTTTTTACCTCAGTATGAATGTTTAAATGTCAGGAATGCAGATTTTAACTGTGCTTTCAGGTACGTTTGTCAAATAAAAAAAAAGGAACAAAAATTTTCCTTCAGGTTTTTATTGAAGCTGAAAATATCACTGGTTTGATACCAAAAAACAGTTACAACATGAAAAAAAGTTGTGCCATATTTTCACCTTGACAGGAATGTTTGCAGACGTTATCAGAGAAAGAGTTCCTGAAGTTTAACATATACAACGGATGCTGCCACTCAACTATCTGGCTGCTGATCATCAAAAGCACATAATTAAAACACTTTTATTCATTTGTTGTGTAATTTAATACTGTGCGTGGTGAAACAATGTAGATGAATGCCACTGTTTCTACTGGAAGGCTTTTTTTCTGAAATGACAATCACTTCTGACTTGTTGGTGTTATTCGGAGGAAAAGTTTGGCTCAGAATTAACATTTTAAAAGCAGAGCAAATAAAAGCTTTTTTATTTTTTTTATTTTTTTTTTACTGCAGTGGCTGTTTTGTATAATGGAGCATTTATTTTTCTGTTAAAACCAAACCAGACTTTCCAGTGTCCATTTGCAGCATTTGTACATCATTTTCAATTCTCAGTACCTCTTTTCTCTTCAGAGGTCCAACCAACAGACTTCAGTAACTTTGTGTTTTATGGTGACATTTTGGGAAACGTTTTTAGTGCATGAGTCTTTATATGAGCAAACAGCTGATTAGTGGTTTTACCTCAAAATAAAATTCAAAAACATAGAAACATCTAGAGTTTGTTGGCAGCAAATTAAAATCCAAATTTTCAGTTGGTAAATATGGTGCACCACGTTTACAACTTAATACCATGCACATCCATTGTATGTAATGACTCAACATGTGTATTTTTTTGCAACATTTTGACAGCCAAGCAATACAACACAATCAGAAAATTATTATTCAACAATCTCCCTCAAGTTAATCTTTTTGTCCACAGTGTCAAACGGCAAGCTTTCCGAATAATTCAAACATGTTTTCTTTCAAACCAACAGTTTTGAGGTTTTTCTAATAACTCAAAATCACGTTAGAGCTAAAGATCGTTCTTTGTTATTTTTGGAAGAAGAAAGTAGAAAAGTTTCCAAACAGCCAGAAAAAGTCACTCACAAGATGGGATCATCATATTTGTCTAGATCTGATTAAACCATAGAAGAATAATTCAAATAATAGGAACTGTTTTACAATAGTATGGTGACTATATTCTAAGATCATGATTACAAATGCACCTTTACCGTTCTCTTTTTTTCCAGTTACACAAACCAGTGCCTTCAAACTCATGTATATCAACAAAAATATTTTACAAATAAGTTAAAAAAAATTGTTTAATACTTCACATTCAAACTCAGCCCCTGGTTTGGTTTTCAGAATAATGTGTTTGTTTTTATTTCTTGGATCAAGTTGGACATGTAAGTTAAAGCCCTCTCTTAGACAAGACAAAAAAAAAGTAACAGGCTCAAAGTCAATCGAGTAAAAGCAAGTAAAGCAGCAAACAGATGTCCTTGGTTTGAATCAACCTCTTGCTGAAACATAATAATTGTGACCACTAATCTCTACTTCACAGATGAGACTATTCACTGTCTCAAACACTCAGAAAAGGTGCTAATTCACAATACAAAAATCTCTTTCAACTTTCATCAAAAAAGTACACCATTCAGTATCAAACTCCAATAGGTCAAAATCTCACAAATGGCACTTAAAACATAGCTGTCCTTGTTTTATTTTTTTTTTTTTACCTCAAAATTGGGGAATGTTTGCTTTTGATAATTGGGGAGAGATCATTTCATTTTGATTTCTTCAGTGAGTGTAAAAAAAATGTTTTTATTATTGCTAATTTAGCCTGGGTTTGTCCTTGGAATGGAATTGCTTTTTTAAAATCTTCAGAATGTGCTTAAGACGGCAGCATGACAGAAAACTCCCTACGACACCTCCAGATTGTAATAACCAGCTATCTCCACAAGGGGGAAACCGTGATCACAAACTGCAAAGACAACAAGGGAACAAGGGAGGAAGTGTGCAGATGAGGAGAGGTGGCAGAGGCTTTGACGCCCCCCTGGCCGTTGTTTCTGCTCCACTTGGACCCGTTTCTCTCCCGGCCTCGCGGAGGCTTTGCCGGATTGGAGATGGGGTTACGTGGGGTTTTGCTGTACGGAGGAGACTGAGGGCCATAACCTGGCCAGTCATCACTGTACCTTTCATCATGATCTCCACCCCCTGAGCCACTGCCCTCCTCACCTGAAATAATAACAAAAAAAGATGCATTCATATTCAATCTGGAGGCAATGAGAAAATATATGTAAGTATGGAGGAATGGTATTTCACAACAAAACGGAAACCTTTGGAGATTTACAGTTCCACATGTAATCCTACAACATGATACATAATATTTTCTTGAGATATTATGTGATCAATACAAAATAGTACATAAACATGAAAGGCAAAAGTTAAATGTTTTTTAAATGCTTCAACAATTATGAATCTGAAAAGTGTGGTGCGCTCTTGTATTTCCCTTTTACTGTGATACTCCCACTTTTCAGTGGAGAAAAAAAAATCTACAAAGATCCACCTTATTCACCTAATCTAACAGGCTGGACAAAGAGTTCATTTATAGTGTCTCAGTTAAATAATTTGTTCAACTTTGCAGAGGTTCACCTTCCAGCAGAACAACAACACTAAACAAAGCTTCAATCGAGAGGTTTAGATCAAAGCATATCCACGTGTTAGAATGGCCCAGTCAAAGTTCAGAATTTTGAATCTGTGGCAAGTCTTAAAAATGTCATTGGGTGATGTTCATTGAAGTTCTCCATCCATTCTGACTGAACTGAAAATAAGAATAGTCTAAATGTTCACTCTCTTTATGAGTAAAGTCTAATGGCAGAAAACTGAGGTTCCATGAGGAACTGAGGGTGATTACAACTATTCTTTCTACTGATTTATTACACAAAATCCCAATAAAAATAAAAATGTTGAATACTTCAGAAAGGTAACTAAAGGTAAACTCACTGTCTATGAAATTTATATCCTGTCCGCGTTCAGCATGCTTCAGTTTGTTGGTCACCACCTTCAGATCCACGATTAGCTGTTTGACCTTCACATCTGGACGAGCAATGTCCACCTCCACCTCTGGGTTGTTTATTTGGCTGGCGAGGCCATTGCCTGTAACATCTGGCAGGTACCTGAGCACACAAAATCATTCACATACTTCCCATCCAGAAACCATAAATTTTGTGATTTCGAACAAATTATTTCCTGTCTTAATCACAACAGTGAATGAGAAGTTATTTTAGCTCTCAAAGTCCAGGCTGCTGTAACCACTGCGTCATGAGAAACTACCAGATGTCCATGTCTTGTTTGAGACTGAGTCATTGATGTGGCAAATAATCTTCAATTCAGTTCAAACTAACTTATCATGTTACAGAAGGATTTCTATGTGCATTTATTTTCTGTTTTTTGTTGTTGTTTTTTTACCTATTTTTGTATACCTCAGGATGTTGGACAGGTTCTCAAATATTTCTTGATTCTGCAGATAGTAAAGGTGTTAAATTGAACCAGAAAGGTTCAATTTAACACCTATATACCTATATATATATATACTACCTATATATAAAATAAAATATATAAAAAATTCCCACCCTCCGTGGGTGGTCTCTTTCATCCTCTGAGCTCGGGTCCTCTACCAGAGGCCTGGGAGCTTGAGGGATCTGTTTGAGCCACTGCTCCAGTTTGGGGGTTCTTTATCCACCACAATAAAAACCAGTCCATATTCTGCACAGATGTTCCCGCCACTTGGTTATGTCGTTCCATGTTACCCTGCTGTTATGTGCTGGACTGTCTCAGAGGCCTCCTTGCACAACCTACACCTTGGGTCTTGTCTGTGGTAGATCTGAGCTTCTATTGCTCTGGTGTTTAGGGCCTGTTCCTGTGCAGCCAGGATGAGGGCCTCTGTGCTGTCCTTGAGTCCAGCTTTCTCCAGCCATTGGTAGGATTTCCTGATATCAGCCACTTCAGTTATTTGTCGGTGGTACATCCCATGTAGGGGCTTGTCCTCCCATGATGGTTCCTCCAGCACCTTGTCCTCTGTTCCCCATTGCCTGAGCACATCGTCCGTTGAGGCTCTCGCCCATTTCCGTCTTGTTCCAGTAGCCCATTTTTCATC